TTCCCTTGAAGAAGAACTGAATCCTCTAAAACATCAAGCATGATGCTCTTCCTTTGTTTCCTTGTGGCAGGTCCAGTACCAGCACTTACACACACTTCCCCTCAATATCATGAGGTTAAGTGCCCTGGGTGGTGCAAGAGGTTGATGTGTTTGGCTACTTATGAAAGGTTGGAAGTTGGAGTCCACACAGAGGCACCTTGGAAGAAAAACCTGGCAATCTACTTCTGAAAAATCAACCACTGAAAACCCTACTGAGCGCAGTTCTACTCTGACACACATGGAGTCACCATGAGGCAGAATCAACTCGATGGCTTTTGGAAAAAAAATTATGGATTAAAACTGTATCAGAACAACAACAAAAATGGCAGAAAGAAAAGCCCCTTCAGGAAATAAACAGCCTTGTTGCCAAACAACCACACACTCAATTCCAGATAGCTGAGGACTAACTGGCTGAATGCGTGGGATGGAGTAAGGGGATCACGGTACTACAGTGTGCAATACTGCTAGTTGGTGCTCTCAGTCTGGCATATAGTAACACTCAAACCACTGAAAAAGACATGTTCTTTCACTTGGTTAACCGCTATAGCCTCCTGTCTTCCTACTTCTTTCTACCCTTTCTCCGCTACAATCCATTCTCTACATACTGATTCTTTTAAAAACATAAGTCAGCTTACATCATTTTGCTCAAAGCCATTCAATGGTTTTCCATTTCACAAAGAATAAAAACCAGTCTTTACATGGCCTAGAAGGCCACACGTGAGCTGGCCCTCGGCCACCTCTCTGGCCTCATTTTCCACCACTTTCCCCGCAACTCAGCCACAGTGCCTTCTTTGCTGCTCCTCTCACATACACTACACATGCTACGTTTCACAGCCGCTACCGTTCCTATTCACTCCGACTAAAGTGCCATTCTCCAGGCATCCACGCGGCTCACTCCCTTACTTCCTTGATAAATGTCACTTCATCAGAGAGGTCTTCCCTCAACACCTATTTAAATTAATACCCCATTTCTCCAACATCATTCTCTATCCTCTTGTCCTGCCTTCTTTTTCCACACGGCACTTATCATCACCTGCTATACTATGGATTTTATTTGTTCACTAAATACCTCCTCCACTAGAGAGCTATGAGGCCAAAGACATCTGTTTTGCTCACGAGCATTTCTTCAGTACGTGGGGCTCACTGCAGGAATACCACAGTGTTGTTATATGCACCAATATATGGTGATTATGTACTTACATATCTAATTTAAAAAAACAAACAAACCACATTTCAGATATGAACAGCATTACAACAAACCAATGCCATGTGAAGAAATATTAAATGAGGGAAGAGCTATAATCTTTTTTTTTTAAAAAAATAATGTTCATTGTTTTTAAGGATACCTTAGAAGTTCACCAGTACCATGAACTGAGTAGAGTTCACTAGTCCTATAAACAGCTGACAAACATCTTTTTTTTAAACCTAAGTTGCTATGTAGCAACCATGCAATTTTTAATCTATAACCCTAGTTATATTTAAGATAAACAATTACAGCATTTAAACTACAGTCAATTAAAAAGTTTTGATGACCATGGCTCAAAAATTTGGGACTCTATTATACTATGTATTGTACTGTGTTAAAATGAAAGAGTAGGAAGAGAAAAATATGAATCTTATGCTACTGGCTCAGAAAAATGCACCATATTTTCTTCCCAATATTGGGTTGCTCCTTTTTCATACTTGGAATGTGCAAGAGCAGGGGGTGGTAAAGAATGAGTGGGAGGGCTGGCAGCAGCACTTTGTTTCAGTAAATACTTTTAGAAAAGAAAACTCTGGAGATGACCAAGCAGCTTTTAAATAAGGCCGTCTTGATACTGTCTAACAGAACTGCAAAGATACGTTTTTTATGGAATGTAAGGATACATAAAACTAGTAGTGCATCCTTTAAATCTGTTTTCCCAATGCCAACAAGCAAGCTGTTCTTCCATTACGATGACCTCCTGACCCTGTTTTGTGTGATTTTTTTCTTGCAAGTCAAAAAGGCTAAGAAATTGATGCCCATTTTTTGCATATTTCACACAAATGTGTCATTAAATAACAACACAATACTGACCTGTTAAATGCTGTATGCAAAAACTCAAGTAGAAAGTTTTTTGTGTAGGAAAAAGTATATTTCTAGTGTCTCATATTTACAGTCCAAGCCTTATACTCCTTATGCTATTTAAATTCATAATCTAGGCCTTTCTATTTTAACTATTGGTGAGTATGCCTATAGTACGTATTTGAATAGGGTTTCCTCTAAAATACACTGTGAGTACTGGCAATAAATAAATCTTTTAAAATATGGCAATATGGCTCAAGTATTCTATAATCTTTTAAAACACTGTTAAAAATGTAATTCTTGGTAATACAGACCATAAATTATTTATAATAATTTAAATGTATATGATGTCTTAAAGAATATTCACTTAAACACACATTCACTTCATGCTTAAATAAGTTAGGACCTTTCCCATTAAAGTCAGGATAAGCAAAGAACCATCACTGACACTATTTAACCTTATACTAGTAAATGCAGGAAGATACCAAAAGGATAAAAGGTTTAAATATCAGAAAAAGACTATAAAATTTTCACTATTTGGAGGTAATTAGAAAATATAAAGGTTTCAACTAAATAAACTAGTCAAAGTGCTCAGTAAGGTGACTAAATACAAAGTTAACATATAAAAAAAGTTTCCTATATACTAACCAATTAGGAAATGTAACAGGAAAAATAGGATTCCATTCAGAGTAGCAATAAAAATCCATAAAATATTTAGAATGAAACTAACAAGAAATGTGCAAAACTTAGGTGATAAAATTTTAAAACTTCACTAAAAGAATATGAAAAGATCTGTACAAATGAAGACATATGCCGCGTTTCTCAACGAGATTACTCAATATTGTAAAGATGCCAATTCTGACCCAAATTACTCTCTAGATTTATTGCAATCCCAAAGTAAACACCTATAGGATTAAAACATGCACTATGAACTATCTCATACAAGGAAAAAGATATAAAGAATAACATAACAGGGACCTACCTAACCACAACATAATTTTCAATACAGTTGAAAAAGAAGAGCTATGAAACAGATTCCCCTTACGAAACAGCAAAACATACGATGTAACTGCAGCAATCAAAACAGTATGGTAGGGGCACAGGGTAAACAGATGTACCAATGGAACAGACTTCAGAAATGGACCCGTAAATATATGAAAATGTAGTATATAATAAAGGTGACATTTCAAATCACTAATAAAAAGACTGAGTGACTATAAACTGTCTTCAGACAGCTGACTGGCATAAAAGAACTCCTACCTTACATCACACAAATTCATCAATTTTCCATTCCACATGGATCAAAGAGCTAAACGCGAAAAACAAAATGATAATAGGACAGTAGGTCTTCAAAATATTGGAGCGGTGAAGGTCTCCTTAAGGAAAACTTGTATATGATGAAGGAATCCATAAAGTTAAAAAACAAGTTGATAAACTGAGATTAACATGTATAACAAAGGATTATTAGCCATGACATATGTACAGAGCTGTAAAATAGACTAACACACACAAAAAATAGCAAAACTATCAACAGGCAACTCAATGAAGAAGAAACATACAAGTTTACACTAAATATATAAAAAGATGCTTAACCTCACTAGTAATCAAGTGAGTACAAATTAAATGATAATGTGTATATAAATTATGATCATTAACAGAAAAATTATATGTTATGGCATATTTAGATCATGAATACTACGGAGACTTTAAAAATGATGATGCAAATAGATTTACATTTAAGCATGAAATAATGAGACATATTGTTAAGCGCGGTGATAGACCAATATGTATAGCATTGAACCTACATACAACACGTACATATAAATTCACTGAGTGATGTCTAGAGGACTATATACCAAATTCTAAAAGTGATTTCACCTGGGAAGCAGTGAAATCGACAGAAGAGGACAAAAAGGGGACTTTCATTTTTTCTTTTGTCTATCCTGCATGAATTTTTATAATGAAAATTCATTCGTACATTATGTGTGCAATTACATTTTTAAATTTAAGCCTCATTCTTCCTTTTATGTTGTTACAAATGTAAACAACACAGAATAACCATCCATCCATCCCAAGTATCTACATTCTTCAAGGTATCATACTTGATCCTGAGGATACAAAGGTAAATAATGGTTACAGCCCCTGAAGAATTCAAAATGTGGCAGAAAATGTTGAATAATTAAGTTATTTACTATTCAAGGGGTTCTATGTTATAATAATAAAATGAACTAAGAGCTGTGGGAATACAGATGAAGTATGATCTAAGTCAAGGGAAAGTCCAGAAACATTTTACAGAGGTGACTTTTGATCTAGGCATCATAAAAGATGATAGAAATTTGCTGAGTTTGGGGGTTTGAAGGCAGGACTTTAGTAGAGGCAACAGTATGTATACAGATTAGAAGGCACAAAATGGGGCATGTCCCAAGAAGAAGGCAGCCAAGACCACTTACTATCTACCTGACTTTGGGCAAAAACCTGAACCTGTTTCAACTAAAAACATGGAAAATGATTTCTTCCTCAGAGAGTCACTGTGAGGAAAATGAGACAATAAGCTGAGAAGGATATGAGGGCAATCTGGCTGCCAGATCTTCCTCCCCACTGAATTCCAAGGCTGACTTAGCTACTTCTCCTCAGGTTATTGTCTCCTTTCCTCCTCACTGTCCAAAAGCTGTCTATTTGGTAGAAGAACACAACACTGTCAGTCATGTACAGTGTAACACAGTCAGTGACACACAGTATTTATGCAGAAGATGTCAATTTTTTCTTTAACCAGATGTTCAGAGTTCCACTGGACAATCTGTGACACTCCATAGAACTGCCCGTAATTATCCCTGAAGTCTTGATTCTTAGGTTGAGAAGCAGCAGTATATTTAGTAAGTACCCCACCCCATATGTACACATATCGCTTCATACTTACAGGCTGAGGCTGTTCTGCAATACAGCAGTTGAAACACAACCAGAATTCACTCATGCTTATAGTCCCAGGTATAAATGAGCACCAATGAAGATTTCAAATCTCAACTCAGGAAGCTCCACAAAGTACGCTCCTCAATATGATGAATGTCCAATGATGTCAAAATAATAATTTTATTACTTCACTGTGTTTTTGTTCCTGGAAGTCAAGTATCTTATGCAGTCAATTTAATAAAGAAAAAGACTGTTCTCCTTTCTTTGTTCTGGTTCTACAGAGACTCGTTTCTGAACCACCAGGAAGGCATAAAAATTGCTGTGTTGACCCAGGACCTAAAACTGGTAGTCTAGAAAAAAAGAAAAAGAAAAAAAAAGTTACTTTACTTATCCTTGGAGGCTTATATTTCCAAAACCTGGGGCAAAATTAAGAGTAAATATTATTCAAAGAAGTAAACATTGAAAAAAAAATCAAGACTTTAACAAATTAATGTTCATTCAACAAATATTTTTAGAGCACCTTGAGTGTCAGGTGCGAAGGATCCAACAGTGAGAGCAGACCACTACCATCACCACCACAGGAATGAGCATGTGCCCAGCAACATACTCTCTATCCCACTCCAGCCAACCAAGCCGAGTCAATCAGAATCCACCTCTTTTCTTTCTGACTACCAAGCTGTCGTCCTTAAGGCTGACATAAGAAAACCATGTTCCACATCTCATAGAGAAGATGGTTCTGAGATAATAATGCCGACAAGCAGAGACAAAAGAGAAGTAAAGATGATACAAATTTCTGATCCCAGTTATCCGTAAAGTCCATTTCACCTGTGCACTTGAGGTTTGGTTTTGTATGTTACTGTTTCTCCCCTTTTGACCTGAAACCACTTTGAAGTGGGTTTCTATCAACTGCAGCCTAATGCAACAGTCAAGTGAATAAGTCCAGTAGACAGCTGGATATACAAGCCTAAAGCCAAGGAGGTGTCTTGGAATCATTAGCAGATTACAACTGAAGCAATGAAATGTCACTATTGAGGGAAAACGGTATCACGAGAAGCAAGGAAGGCCTAAGACAGAGCTCTCTGAGATATAGCAATATTTAAATAATGAGTAGAAAAAGAGAAATCTGTAAAGGAGGCTTGGATATTATCAGAAAGAGAGAGCGAAGGAAAACTAGTTAAATGTGTCAATGAAGCCTGTATCAAGGAGGAAGTGGTGAAAAATATTAACCGTCAATGAGACAGCAAAGACGAGAACTGTTTATTAGATTTTGCAGCAAACAGATACTTGGTGACCCTGGTGTTAACAGCAGTTTTAATGAAGTAGTATGGGCAGAAATCAGATTACAGTGAGTTGGAGTGAAAGGAAAGAAGCAGACTCAACAAGTATAGATGATGTTTGCAAAAAGATTAGATATAAAGTTAAGAAAGACAAGGTCGTAGGGAGAGTGAAGAAAAAAAGACATCTTTGAAATAAAAAGATCAGAACCGAAAGATATATTAATTTGATTATTCAAAGAAATGTAACATTTTTGTCCCAAGTAGTGAAATGAAACATATAAACCACATATTTACAAATTTTTGAAAGAGGCCTCATGTATTTATATCCATTGCCATGAAGTCGATTCCAACTCACGGCAACCCTATAGGGTAGAGTAGAACTGTCCCACAGGGTTTCCGAGGCTGTAAATCTTTACAGAAGTAGACTGCCCCATCTTTTGCCTGCAGAGCAGCTGGTGGGTTCGAACCACTGACCTTACGGTTACCAGCCGAGCTCTCAGTCACTGTGCCACCAGGACTCCTTCATATATTTACAAGCTATACCAAGTGCCAATCAATAATAACTAAATTACAGGATCACAGAATCTGAACATCTTAAGTGAAATAAATTTATCCCTTTTTCTTTTAATCACTGCCCAAAGCCATGACTCTAAAAGTAGTTAAGATAGGGAAGGCAGTTATTTTTGCATTTGTATACATGAAGATCTTCAGTGAAGATAAATGTATATATGCTCAATGTCACAAATCTAGGTGGTAATAAGGCATGAATTTAGAACCTTGATTCTACCAGAGGACAAGCGCTCTAACATACCACCAGAAAATAACATGCTAAGACTTAAGCATACATTCAAGGAGGAAGACTGAAGAAAGAAAATTCACATTCTTGCCATAGTTAAAATTCAGAACCTGGAATGTTTATTTTCAAGCAGTCAGGATGAACACTTCCTATCCCACCCAAACTCCAAACCAAGAAAGTGGCACTCTCTGTCCACTGAATGGGTAAATACCACGAAGGCTTATAAGCTCAAAAGAACTGTTTTACTTGCTTTCTCCATCTAAACTTCTTAGTAAAAATATGAGAGGAAACAGTTAAACTCACAGCATCATGAACATTATTTCTGAGTTGCTATTTAACAAGTTTAACTCCATCCTGAATCAAAGACCTTGGCCATTAAAAGAAGTCATGTGACAACCAGACCGGAATTACTAAGAATGTTAACACATTGTGAAAAATGTAATCAATGTAACTGAATAATTTCTGTAGAAATTGTTAAACGGGAACCTAATTTGCTGTGTAAACTTTTGCTGAAAACAATTTTTTTTTTAAAAAGTCATGTGAAATTAAATCTCTTTTAACTGATTCTACAAAAACAAATATGTCTTTGTTTGAAACTGAAAATTCTTTATGCTCATCACTGTTGCAGCATATACAGACTTGGAGCTACTCATGTTTTCAAATCTACTGCTCAGTTATTCATATTTCTCATTTACTATAAAGGTGAGCAATTTCCTTTTAATATATGAGTTACCTTTGCCAGAAACCACCATCAAATACTAACTTTACATTGGGAGGTGGTGTATTTTCTTTTTCTTCTCTTTTAAACAGTTTCCTTCTACTGAACACTGAAAATTAATACATGGTTTTCTACTTTACAGCCCATAATAAATGCTTTATTTTACCACCCTTACATTTTCCCAATTCAAATTTCCTTCTGATTTAGAGTGAAGTGATTTCTTATTTTATGAAGTTTAAAATAAACATTTCCCCATTTCCATGTACTACTTTGGGAATGACATTCACAATACTACTTCCTGTTTCTTAAATGTTTGGTTGAAGAATGACTATTTAAAGTACAATAATTTGTGCTTCTATTTTTGGAGGCAGAACAGAAAGGATATACAGCTTTTCTTATACATTTCCACATGGAAGGTACATCTGCTGAAATGTATTTTTGAACCAAGGAGGTGTTTGCTACTCCATGGGTTTTGTTAATATATACACCTTTAAAAGTTTCAAACATACCTTGGAAGTGATACCAATACATTTTCTATCTTCTTGCTTTTTCTAAGCCAACTTCCTTTTAATTTTTTTCAAGTGTACATACTTGAAACAGATTTATAAATAAACATCTTTAGAGAAGTACTGAATTCTTCACAAAATATTTCAGTGCTGGCACTGATAATAAATACTCATTTCTCAAATTAAAAGTTGCCTAAAACGTGTCCACTTTACAAACCTTAGACTTCTTTTGGTTTTAATTTTAAGATAACAAAGAAAGTGTCACTTTTCAGTAACATCAACATCTAAAGTTGGCTTTTGAACACAGCTCAGCACATTCCACACATAAAAGGGTCAGACTGGTCTACAGCACAAGAGAGTATTTCGCAGACTCATAGATTCATAGAATTTTAGAAATGGAATAGACCTTACAGATAACATGATGGGACTTATTTTAAAAATGAGGACACTAAGGCCAAATAGCTTGAAGTGAATTATCTAAGGCCACTTAGCTAGTGACTGGCAGAGCCTCCTTGAATTAAAAGCCCAGTCTGTCATAAACGAGATAGGCATGAGAGAGAAGGGGAGTGGCATTCTCTGAGATTTCTCCAGTCACAATATTCACCAACATCTGTTCCCCTCCTTCTCGCTTCCTCCATCAAAATAAATGCTACAGATATAGCTTTCTATCTGTGTGAACAGTTTTGCTATTGACAATTTAAAGAAGTTATGTTCCGAAGTCCTACCTACAATTAAATAAAGTTGCTTTTAGGTCAACTTCCAAAGAAACAATAATAAAGCCTTGATTTGAAAAACAGGGCAATGGGGGCATCTCTTTCGCCAGGTAATTACTTTTTAAGTTTTTGTTTTTAATCTGAAATACTTGAACTCAGTTCAGATATTGAGCATGCTCAGTTTGGGTTTGAAACGGAATCAAAAGTTTAGAATTCAGACTTTGAAACAAAATCTCTATGGTACTTCTAGTACTTCACTGACTTTTAGACACATTTAGCCTGATCAAGTAACAAGCTCTCCCTCAGTTTTTTCAACTACAAAATGGAATATTGCACGGCCAATGTTACAAGCCTCAAATGAGGATTAAGTGAGATGGTATATATGAAGGCATGTAATATATCATAAAAAGCTATATTTATATAAGATGCTCTTATGTATCATCAGAATAAAATGACAAACAGAAGTAGCAAAAACATCATTTTTGCTCCAAATTTTGGCAATAGCTCCAAATTTTAAGAAACAATCTAAAAGTCTGTCCAGAAAAAATTAACTACATTGTGGTATATTCATACAAAAGGATGTGACACAAAATGAAAATGAATGACAACTTCATGCAACAACATGGATGACTCTCACCAATATGTTGTTAAAGGAAAGAAGACCCAAAATAATACACATGGAATTATTTCATTTACATGAATTTCAAAAACAAGTTAAACTAATTTATTTTGTTCAGAGATGGATACATAGGTTTAAAATTAAAGTAAAGCAAGTAAATTATTATAAAGTCAGGAGAGTGGTTATCTCTAGGGTTGAGGGTAGGGACTGTGACTAGGAAGAGATGCCTGGTGGCTTCTGGTATATTGGTAATGTTCTATTTCTTGACTTGGACTACTTGATTTGGCTTACACAAGCATTTGTTTTATAAGTATTTGTTAAATAGTGTATTTATGATCTATGCAATTCTCTATGTATTTTTAAATGAGAAAATTTTGCATGAAATAGAAGGAACAGAAGCAAATATGAACAATTAGCAGTTGATCATAGTGAAGTGGTAAAGATCAGAGATGGAAATGTAAAACAAAAAAATCAAGTAAAAATGTACATCCTTGCTATAGACTTTGAAGAATTTGGCAATATTATTGGGTGAAGAAAGAGTGGAGGCTGAAATTCTATCAGATGCCGAAGAGGTTTTTCCCCAAAATCAATGACCAGGTTTCAATTACCAATAAAGCTTACTTATCGTTGAACCAGCATTAAATCTGTCCCACTGTAGCTGAAAGAGGTCTTATGATTTGTCATACGAAATCCTTAAAAAAAAAAAAAAAAAGACATTAAG